TTTCTTACTTGATGTATCGTTACTATCAAAAATGTTGTTACTACTAGGTTACAAGTTTTTATCGTTGGATTTTTGGGAATCGTGGCAAGGGAAATAGATTGGATGGCTCTAAAGAATAAACCATGGCTCTTCCTTCACAGACAGAAGCAATTGGAACTGTCTACCTCAATTAATTTAACACAACAAAGACATTGAAGGAGCACTTTTGCGGCAGCATTTCTTGCTGGTGTCGAATGCTGAAATATTAAGAGGGTGGGGTGGGTCCTTGCTTAGACTTGCATCTCAATTCTTACAATTACAACACAGTATTCTTCAAAAGTTGCGCGACCTGGTGACTGACAATTTACCTGCATTTGCACTGTACCAAAAGCTTTTAAAGTAAAGTTCCTTATAATATTATATTTCTTATATCAAGGTATCAATTTGTTTCAGTATTAAACAGTAGTTCTTCACAAAGAAAGCATACTTCGCAAGGATATTAATTTAAATTTTTTATTTCAAAGCAGAAATTCACAACTTTATGAGTATATAGTCAAAAAAGAAATTCGCATCGGAGATCTCCTGTGTACTGCACTCTTCCAAAGAGTGTGCCTAATAGGGCATTACCTTGTATTAAATCCAGTGAAGAAAAAAAATCTGCATTCAATACATACTCTTCAAATAAACTGAAAAATTTCTGTTTGATTGTATATTTACAGTTGCAAAATTATTCATCAGCTGGATAACTCTTTGGCTGAAGCCCAATATTCATGCTGGACATTCTCTGCCAATTGAAAAACAATGTCTATGATAGTTTGGTATATCCGCTCAACTTGTAAAGGTATTATATGTGTTGATTCCTGTGTTATGCAAAATAATAGTTTTTATTGATTTTTTTTAAAGTAATTCCAATAAATAAAGTAATGTTAGTTGTTTTTTTTAATGAAACACGTAATTCTTGTAATTTGCAGAATATTCCCAGATGTAAATATGACTAGAATGAATACATGGAATGAATTTTTGGATCGTTATTGCTGGTGAGTTTCATGAAATAATGAAATATATACATACAATTGTGATACATTTATAAAAATCCTTTTTTTACAGCCCTTATTTACTGGAACCTACAGAGCCATTATTTCGAAGAGTGGGAAATATGTTTATTACTGAGGTAAATTTATTTTTAGAGAGCTAATTATCCTTGTGTTTGGAAATGTTAATATATACTGATTTGAAAGCTTTGTTTTTATTTCTAGTTAATTGCAGAATTTGGGACTGACCACTTTTATAATTGTGATACTTTTAATGAAATGGTCCCTCAGTCTGAAGACTTGGTGTATCTAAGAAATGTTGGTGCTGCAATTTTTGAAGCAATTTCTTATGTAGATCCCCAAGCTATCTGGTAATTTATGTTATATCTTTGTGAACTAAATGTAGATTTTTAGATTTTTATCTGGGAATCAACTTTTTTTATATCGTCATTCAATGTGTTTAGGGTTAAACAGGGATGGGTTTTTGCACACAATGTCTTGTTCTGGACAGCAGAAAGAGCAAAAGCTTATCTCACCTCTGTGCCAAAGGTAAGGATATTTTTGAAAATACCCTGTTTAAAATCTTAATCTGCTACAGGCTACTTCAGGGCTGGCTGTTTGTTAATGAAGCTACTTTTTGGAATCAGAACCGAGTTCAAGCCTTTGTCACCAGTGTACCACTAGTGAGTGTAAAATGTTTTTTGAGTGTTTATAAAAACAAATGCAAGCAAGAAGCAATTTATAATACTTTCTTACTGTTTGTGTATTTGTGCTGATCTATCTGTGCACTTGATTTTAAATTGCAGGCATCTTAATGAACTTGGATGACTTGTAGACATCTATGTGTTTTGTTTTTTGTTTGAAGAATGTTACAGCTGTGGTTATAGAATATTTAAAATATTTAAACTTAATTGTCTTGACTGAAATGTTTTGTAAATTAATGATCCTTAATTACTCTGGGGTATAATACAGAAATATTTATAACCAAAGTGGTTGCAGAATGTTTTCAGTCTCATCTTCAAAAATATTATTAAATTGTAATTTTTATTGAAAATGTGTAAGTTGAAAATATAAATATTTAAATAGTTTATTACAAATTGTAATTTGTAGTAGTTTCTCTTTTAGTCTCTTTTTTCTTAGTAATTTGTTATATTTAGGACCTAGATTTTTAGGATACTAAAAGTGAAAAAAAATTAAATGAGCTTGAAGATACTAAAAAAATTAAAATGGGAAAGAGTTTTTGTTCAATAGGCATGTTCGGTGTGATTGTGGAGGTGGAAAGTAGTTGAATAATTTATTAATTTGGATCAGGATCCTTGTCAAAAATGTTAATTTCAGTTCATGAGGGAAACATTTTCACCATCGTCGTACATTTTGTCATCATAGACCAACTTAATCTTAGCACCTACGGACAGAACCAGTTTGAATAAAACATGGCTTGTGTATTTGTGCTGATTTGTGATTATTTATTTGTGACTGCTAAAATTTTATTTTCTTGCTCTTAATACCTTAAATAGAATTATATTTAATAGGAATAGGAAAGATTTGTTTTTTGAATAAGACATGAGAAAAATTACACACACAACTAAATATAAGTATTTAGGAATTAAAATTATAAATACTGGAAAACAGTTTAAAGAAATTCAGTCAAAAATAAATTTAGGAAAAAATTTGATTTCAATTTTAAATTGTATTTTTTGGGATAAAGGTATCACAAAATAGACCAAAATAAAAAAATATTTAAAACAATAATTAGAAGTTACTTGACTTTGGACATTACATTCACAGTTAAAAGGAAATATTTTGTCGATAGAAATTGACTAATGGAGAAGATCAGCAAGAATTTCCAGAAGAGACAAAATTCGAAATGAAATTACTAGAATAAAATGTGAATGAATCACATTTGATTATAGATTATATAAATAAAAAATACCTAACCAGGTTTGGACTTGTTAAAAGAGTGTAAGAATGACAATTACCTAAATTAGTGATTTGTGCTATTCGAGTGATGCCGTGACATAGGCTGAGGTGCCGACAGTTTGACTGACATATTGTGGTCCTCAGCCTTCGATGCAGCATCATCCGGACAGCTCAGATCATGATTCTGGCCGTGGAAGCCTATAATATCATTTACCTAAATTAGTGTTTTATGGGGAACCATTTGAAAAAAGGAAATGTGGAAGATCGCCTGTGTCATGTAAACAAGAAAGTATAAATGTACATCATGAGAAAGGAATAAACAAAGATGAGAGTTATCAGAGAAGAATGGATAAAATTAATTTATTAAACTCTCATAATTGTATCTGAAATTGTATTATTATTCTTATTGTGTAATTGTTGGGAATCTGAAAAGATGTAAAATATTTCAAGACCTAGAATTTAATTAGCTCTAGAGGGAAATTTCACATTAGAAAGCAAGAAAAAATTATTGTTAATTTATTTTTCAAATTACTTAATTTATTTTGTTGTGGCAATTTGTATTTAGGCATAATTTAGCCATTTGAAGGATTTGTACTTTTGTTCCAAAAATGGTAGAAATAAAATAAATATTTTAGAATAATGATGCTCATGAGTAAGAAATAAAGTTGTCTTGAAATTCAAAGGATTTTATGAACTGTGGAGGTGTCAAGGCATGAGGTCAGGAGTATGATATGGCACTTGTGGAGAAATATATGAAATAAAAGAATTACTGTTGACAAAGATGAACTATGAATTTCTTCTGTCTGACTGAAATTTCATTTAATATTCTGTATCAATAAAAGAAAGTCCATTGGGTATGGGAAAAGTGATTTTCTCCACTACGATGACTTGTAGTATGTCATACATTAGTGTACATAACTACTTTGTTTACTCTTACTCTTTATTAATCCTTCTGATTAACTCCCATTCTAAAACAAATAAGGGATAGATCTGGAAGGAAAAGATCAAGTCTTTATCATCTCTTTAGAATGATTTTATGAAACAAATTTTCCTTCCATTACAGGGTAGAATGATAGTGTTGGATTTGCAATCAGAGCTTATTCCACAATATGGTCGTCTTGATTCATACTTTGGTCAGCCTTTTATATGGTGTATGCTTCACAATTTTGGAGGTACATTGGGTCTGTACGGTGCTGCTGAGAATATTAACTCAGTGAGTTATTTATTATTACCTTATTTATTATACCTTAGTTCTGCTCCTTTTGAAGCTAAAGAATGGCATTAATATGCTGCTTTAATTTGTTTTGTTCCAGTGTATTTTTTTCTTTACCCTTTAAGGTAGTTTGGCATTTGATATTTGTTTCTTATTTCTTTTCTTCTCTGTTATTGAATACCTTGTTATTTCCTCCCCGTAATTTTTCTTCTTCTTCTTCTTCTTCTTCTTTCTTTTTTTTATTTTTTATTTTTATTTTTATTTATTTATTTACATGAGTTCTTACGCAAGTTATTTTAGCAAAATCACTCATTTTTGTCAACCTAGGGTATTTTTAATGCTCGATCTATGAATGGAAGTACCATGGTTGGAATTGGGCTTACACCTGAAGGCATTAATCAGAATTATGTTGTGTATGATCTTGTTCTTGATTTAACGTGGAGGACTGAACCTGTAAATTTAACTTTATGGTATGTATCTTCAGTACTAATCACAATATTACATTGAAAAGAAAGCAGCCTTGCTCCTTTGCAACTTAGAAAACGTGTGTAGATGGAACTTTTCCTCCATATGTCACGTACAATTTTTACTGTTCTTTGACTAAATAAATCAACTTGACATTAAAATATTCTTTAACTTGTAATACAAAGAAGAGGTGTTGTATTTGAGTTGTATATTGTAAGTTTCATCTCAATATAAATATATCAGTAATCATTATTAATGGGATAGTAATCGTAGATTATTGTCTTTTGGAAGAATTAAGTTTAATGTGTAATTTTGCATGTATGTAGAAATTAAAAACATTATTTAAAATAAAAATTATTTTTTATAATTTTTATAGGTTTTCTTCATACGTTCACAGACGATATGGTCACACTACCGCTGATGTGGATAAGGCTTGGCAGTTTCTCAAGGTTATGAGAAGTCTACTACAACTGAATATTTACAATAAATTACCTCTCTAATAAAACATTAATATGAAATAATTATTTCTCTAGTCTGGTGTGTATAATTTTACTGGTTTACGTCGTGTACGTGGCAAATACATTATATGTCGAAGACCAACACTTCGCCTCAAGCCTTGGGTTAGGACTCTCTTCATATTGCATCTGCTGTTAAATACTCTCGTAATTGTAAGTAAATAAAATTATGTTGAATTTTCTTGATCTGCTTTCAGTATTGGTATAATACAACTGAACTGAAATTGGCATGGGATGGTTTTGTAAATGCAGCTTCAGAACTCGGCTCCTCTCCTTTATTTCAACATGATTTAGTTGATGTAACTCGCCAGGCTTTGCAAGTACTGGGTGATGGGCTGTACACACAAATTGTTCGTGGCTTTCAGAAGAAGAATTTACCCTTTTATCAGTACGCATTGTGAAACAGTTTTGAGAAGCTGTTGTTTATGATGATGCAAAAGAAAAGAAAAAGATTAAAAGCACAATTTTTTTTTTTTTTAAGTAATTCCACATTAGTGAATGTTAGTATGATGAGAAAAGCATGTTTTCTAACTTAAACAATTTTGTTTTTTTTTTTAGAGAAAATGTTGACATGTTTCTACAACTACTTGAAGATATAAATGAAATTTTAGGAACAAATAAACAGTTTCTTCTTGGTGTTTGGTTAAACAATGCAAAAAGGAGAGCTACATATTCAGTAGTAAGAAATATTTCGTTATTTGAATATTTGGGCAAAATAAGACATAATTTGTAATTTATTGTAATCTTTCAGGAACGCATTATTTATGAATTTAATGCTAGGAATCAAATTACATTGTGGGGTCCTCTAGGAGAAATCAGGGATTATGCAACTAAACAGTGGTCAGGTAATGAGATAAGTGATTTTTTATGTGAAAGATGATTGTGTAATTGTGTTTCCAATTTTGATAGGTATAGAAAAGTTAATCTTCTGTGCAGGTGTTGTATCAGATTATTATTATCCTCGCTGGGAATTGTTTTTTGATTTTCTACATCTCAGCCTTATAACCAAGACTCCATTTAATCAGACTCATTTTGCTATAAGAGTCTTTGAAACTGTAGAAGAACCATTTACATTGGATAATAGTTCCTACCCGGATGCGCCTCAAGGTAAATATGATTACTTTTTGGCACTGATCATTGAATTATTATTATTATAGAAAATAAGGCTTGAATTATGATATTTTTCTGAAACAAACGCCTTTGCATATGTTTATTTATGTAGGAAATAGTGTTGAAGTGGCCCGACGATTACATTCTTTTTGGCGGAACAGTTCAGTTTGGTCAGAGCTTGTGAAGTTTATGGAACCATCAAGAGTCAATCAAGAACCAATTTCAAACAATTCAGAAATAGAAATAAAAATTTCAGAGGAAGATTTTGAACCACATGTTATTCTTGTTTAAATGAATTTTACAACAATTTTCTGGCAGTCATGTGGCAACTATATTTTGACCATGCTGACCTTTGTGATATGAGCTTATTATTATTTTATGGTTTGAGTTAGTGTTTTTCTGTCAATCAGAGGAAAGAAATCATCATATTGAAATTTATTAAAAAGCTTCCTCTTTATGATAGGAATTGACATTGAAACAAATAGTTGTTCCTGCATTATTCTTCAGACAAATTAAAAAGTCCCTAAATAGTTAGAAAATGTAATACTATGCAATTTGTTTAAGGACAACGAAATCTGTAAGTTCATTTTCTGATTCTATTTACCAATTTTCTAATATATCATAATATATTTGATATTCTCTCTTAGCATGTGGAAAGTGCTTTAACCCCATGACACAGAATAGGTAGTAAAATGTTTAGTGTATGCTATATTCTTTAGAAATTGTATATTCTATTGACACAAGTATTGTGCCTTTATCCACAACAAAGATTTTGAAGAGGGAGAGGAAAAAAACAAAAACACACCCACACACACACCATCCAAAACAGTTAGTTAAAAATTCAATAGTGCCTTCTGCAATAACATTTCCTATTGTTATATGAAAGATGCATCTTTCTAGTGATCAAAATGTGATTTTTATCATTGTGCCAAAATCATGAAACCAAAGGTACTATGGCCACTGTGCTTTGCAGTTTTCAAGACTTTTGCAAATGTAACAGGTGTTTTTATATGCTTCCTTAAAATTGGAAAAAAACTGCTGATTATTTGTATTGTTTATTATCATCTGTTGTGTATAGTTCCTTTATACTTGTTGGAGTAAATGTTTGACAACATATTTGACTTTTATAGTGTCACAGAGCTGTTATTCTAAAGAAAAGAAAGTGTTGTTTGAAAACTAGACCAAATTTTTAAAGTGTTATTGTTTCTAAAAGTGTCTGTTTTTCTTGAAAACATTTTTATATTAGCTATTCCAAAATACAATTTTTTGAATGGACATAATGGAATAACAATTTGAATACACATAATGTTTTGTTTTTTCTTAAATATGTAGTTGTCCACAACTTTCTTGAATAATGCCCTAAGAGAAAAGAAATGTTCTTTTCTGCATGTCTCCAAAAAATGTTCATCATCTTTGCTAATTTTTGGGATGTTGTTTGCAAATATTGTTTTGAATGAAAACCTAATTTCTGTGTATTTTTGGATGCCAAGTTAAACAAATTTTCTCATGCCTTAAATTAATATATGAATTTTAAGGCCTGCAGAAAGACAATTTAAATTCATGCCATGGGGAAGCCAGATCATCGTTCTTATTTACATTAATACAAGAATTCTAATACATTTTACTACTACATTTTCGTTGTTGCTACGATTTTGTCTTAGTTGTAACAAGAGAAAATGTTTGTGTGTGTATATTTGCAGCTGTTCTAGGAATTAAGTTTTTTGAAGCTATAATGAGTTACTTTTTTTTGATTTTGTAACTTCATTTATTTAGATTTTAATCTATTTAGTAATAATGTAGCTAATACTATGGTCATATTTGCTCAGTTGACAGGCTGTCATCAAGAGCTTGTCGTAAGTGACCTAACAATATCTGATTTGCCTTGTCCATGACCATTTCTGTACACTTAATTATTTTAGTTCAAACTCATGAGACTCTTTTCATACAGGACATTACCACCTTCCAAAACCACTTTCTTTAATCTTAAAGAAATTGTATTGCCATAGCTAGTTTTTGTTGAAAAGAAACATTAGAGACTTCATAAAAAAATGTATTATGCTGACTTCAGAATGAAGTCAAGTAACCAGGTAAAGTCATTGGTCTCACATATTTGGTGTATTTGTACGGAGGACCTTTGACAATGTTCACAATGTCAGGAAAAGGGTTTTTTTTGGGGGGGGGGGTGAAAATTATGAATAGTATCCAGAAATTATAACTCTGATTATTAATTCAGGTTGAGTAATATAGCAAGATACAATCTAAAACATTACATCACATAACTCACTAAACAAACACATCAATCTAAAACAAATTGTTTATTCTAGTATTCTATCAGCTAGCCTAAGAAGTTCTGTGCAACTGTCCATATCTCTGAAGAAATATTCAGAGATAATATGCACAATGGCAAATTAAAGCGTGAAAATATAAACAAAACACTGAAATTATTTATTTCTTATCTTTTATAAACCATATTAGCTATTTCAGATTTTAACATCAAGACATATTTTCAATTACAATCGTAGATGTCTCATAAGTTTGTTTTAAAGTAAAATAATATTCAAAATTATTACAGTATTAAACAACTTTTATATTTATTACTAAGAGTGTACAATTATTTGCCACACATTACATGTTCTCTTTTGTAACAAAGAGTTGTTAGAACAAAACTGTGCTTATGTAGTTCAAAATAGCTTTAGATTAGTTGTAGATCTACTTGAACTTAATATACAAGCGGAAGATAATATGATTTCACCACCTCATTATTCAAGAACTTGAAGAATTACTTAATAAGAATCTGATGAAATGTGCCATTCCTATTGAAATTGTGATTGCTGTTAAATTTATTCCATTCAATAATATTTTAAGGTTCAATAATGAAGCATTTAGACAGAAAGATGGTACTTCCGTAGGAGGCATGATGAGTTGTTTCTTCTCAGCGATAAATGTGCTAGGTTGAATCGGAGGTCTTACAGTGACTTAAAAGTATTGAAACACCTTGAATATCTGAGAATGTGAATAAATTTTACTTTGAAAAGGTAATATAAATGACAAATTTTCAGCGGAATTAAATACATTGTAAAGTAAAGTTGCTACAATAAAAAAACAAACACACTTAAAATGAAGTATTAAATGCGCACGTTTTCTTGAGCCCTGGCATCGCTAGATGCAAGTTCATTTTTCCATGCAAAATAGTTTTTAATACACGGGAGCGAACATTCCTTGTCACCAGGTTTTGTCTACGACGCTCATTACTATCATTTATTCTTAATGCGACTAATGTTGGGGAAGGAGTGGGAGTAGATAGGAAAACATGCGGATATAATACAGAAAATTGAGAGACCAGATATATAAGCAAATATCTCAACAACAAAAAATGAAGCCAAAAGTATTGGAACACGCGAACTCTCAAACATTGTAAAGGCTCATTCACAATGCAAACGTAAACATGAGCATAGACAAACATTAACATTAAGTGATAGACTGAAGTATTCAAAATGTCTTACATAAACCTAAGCAAAATAAGAGTTTCTATTGGCTGGGAGGCATTCTGGTTTACTATTGGTTGAAGTTGAGAATCGATTTCAAGGTATCGACTGTGTCCATAGTCCGCTCCATGGTACTCTCTGGTCCGATCATATGGCGTTAATCTTCTATCGACTTCACTCGAATTTCGATTTTGGATTTTGAGTTACCGTTATGTGATTGGTTCATTTCTTATGTCTTAAGCATAAGCACAGAAGCTTGCAAGCTTTTAAGTTAACGTCTTACGTGTTATGCTTATACGAACGCATTGTGAATGAGACCTTATGGACGAAGTCCTAACTTTTATGTTAACGTCATGCTTATGTTTGCATTGTGAATGCGTCTTAACGGCATTCCTGGAAGTCACCGCGACCGCAGCCAGTTGGATTGACATTCACCTTGCCAGCCGGGACTCGCCTGTCAACCCTTAGCTGCAACAGTTTTTAAATCAATTCCCTTTCTGGAATTCATCAGTCGATTCAGAAGTATACGATACTGAAATATTTGTTCATCAAATGTCACTACGGGGCGTCAAGAAAAGGAAAAAATGAAGAAGAGATAACAATTATAATACGCATGCGTAATGAATGCAGATCTTTGCGATAAATCGGAAAGATTGTGCAACGATCACACACTACAGTGTTTAATGTAATTGACAGGTACTGTCTTCGAAAAACGGTGACGAACAAACGCCGAAGTGGTCACCAATGTGGCTGAATGAACGCGACACAAGAAAATGTTTGGCGACATTTAAGTATATACAAAACTTGCTTCTGGAATAGTCATTTCTCCGAATACAGTTCGCATAAGTAGCACTAAACAGCGGATACATTGGATGTATGACGCGTTGGAAATTCTGGATCAATGATATTAACAGAAGAAGAAAAAACACGTAGAATTTACTAAAATATATTGAAATAGTTCTCAATAAATGCGGAACCAATTTACTTTTAGTGATGAAAGTAAATTTAATATTTTTGGGGCGGATGAAGAGAAACTCCAAAATGCATGAAGAGAACCTTCTAGCTCGCTGTGAAATACAGAGGTGGTTCTGTATTCGGCTGGAGGTGTAACAGTGCTTCTGGTGTGGGGAATCTTCACTTTATAAATGCTACCACATTCTTAATTTTCTTGTTTCCTAATTGCAGAACGGAAATATTATTTTAGGAATATTAAAGAACAGAACCTCTTCGTAAATGACAATTTTCTTTGAAAAATTTGAATTGGTTTTTAAGAATAAGGCGCTTAAGCACTACAGTAATTTAAATTTTATGCACTTTTTCACAGAAAAGTTTTGAGTGTTTGAAAACTTTATTTGATGCATTTTAAGACCCAAATACAATAGTGTTTACAAATTGCTGAAAATGAACCGGCGTGAAAGATCTTAAAAAATTACATTTGTGTAATTTTTGAAAAAACAAAAATACCCCGAAAACCTATACGTCATATTAAAGAGTGCAATTAGCAGTATCCCC